TATATAATATATATATACATATAATATATATATATACGAGCACGCACGCACGTATACACGTATATAATATACACGTATATATAATTATAACTCTTATAATCTATTATATTATAACCTAAGCTATAATAAAACTAATATATAGTAATTAACTTAACTTAAAACTAGTATAATTATTATTACTTTAAATTAACCTACTTAAAATAACTCTATTAATTAATTTAATCTTATTTCTTAAGAAATAAGGTTTACCTTTAAAGTTAAGGTATATATCTCTCTCTCTTTTTCTTTTCCCTTTTTTTCTTTCTTTCTTTATTAATATATATAATAATTATATATATATTATTAACCTTTCTTTTACGTATTTAAGTTAAGTAAAGAAAATATTAAGCGAGTAAGGGTAAAAGAAGAAATTAATTTAAAATATAAATAACGTATTATAATTAATATATTATTATAATACGTAGGTTATTATATACTATTATTATAGCTTTACCCTCTTATTTAACGTAATAAATTATCTTAAACTAATACTATTACTCTCTTAACCTTTATACGCGTTAGTTTATTACGTAATATTATAATAACTTACACTTAAAAGAATAACCTACTAATATAAACCTATATTATAGTTTAAATAATCTACGTCTTATAATACCTAGTCTCTCTATATATAATAGCTTTACCTATTAGGTATATATAGCTTATAGCTTTCTCTTAATAAGCTATAAAATAATACAAGTATATTATAATTAAAAGTATAGCTAAAAGGCTATTTAAGCTAGCCTCTCTTATTAAAGCTAGGTTAAAATTTAAATCTTCTTTACTATATTAAGTAATATTATCTTTTACTTTTACGTGTTACTATTACCCTAATTAACGCTAAGATAATAGCCTAATATATAAGTTAATTTTATAACTATAAGTAATAATAATAATTAAGTAATTATAATAACGCGTAATACTTAATTAATATCGCTTTATTTATAGTTAAAGAGTAAGAGAAGGTAAAGAAGAAGAAGAAGAAGAGAGAAGAGGTAAGCTTAAGTTTAAATTACTATTACTTTATTATTCTCTTAATTAATATACGAGATAATTTTACTTACACGTAATAAGGCCGCTTCTTTTTATATTTTAATAGCTTTAATAGTTATTAAAATAAGATACTAAAGAACTTTATAGCTAATAATTAAAGGCGAGAATTTCTTAATATTAAGAGCTAATAA